GGGGGGGGAAGGAAGGGGGTACTGAAGAAGCTGTGTGGGCTGAACTGTCATAAAATTGGGGAATATCGGGGATCAGGTAAGTTACATGGAAAATGTGATTTTTCACTGCACTTCCCGCTTCTCAAAAACATTTTGCATACGCTTTTTATGGCCTAAGTCACAGCTCACCAATAACACTTTTTAGTGGCAAAACTTATTACGAAAAGTTAATTTTATTGTGAACACTTTTTTGCACTCAAGGTTCACAAAAAATGGGTTCAATAAACATAATGTCATGATTAGAAACAAATGACAAACGTGCTTTTAAAAGCAATATTGCCCCAGGTAGAAATCTTTAAAAATCTGTAGAACCCACCCACTGGGATTTTTAATTAGTATTTATTAAGGAATTTTCTAGAATACAACTAACAGGTCTTTACAAAAATATTGATCTATTAAGACAAATTGATACAAGTCACTGTGCAAAAGCCTGAGACTTTATCTCTATATATTATATTTGTGAAAGTTCACACTTTGGCTACCTAAAATTTCTGAACAACTTAACTTTCGAATTTGACAAAATTAATGGTAGTTCAGAAGCATTTAAAGGGTGCACAGTTTCATTGAGAAGCCTGAAGTCACTGTAGTTTAATTTTCAGTTTTTCATTAGTTTCGTTTAGATCTCTTCTTGGGAAAGTCCGTCTTCTAAGACGCCATTGTAAACAAGTGAGCCTTCTGTTCACTACACGTGTGCACTGATTCCACACCTTTGAAATTATGGAGTGTACAACCACAAAAGCGGAATAGAGAATCAAATCTATACGTCTATTATATATTTGGCAACTTGGAAACACATGTGTCACTTTTCTCTCAAGATTTATTGCTCTATTCCAGTAGAGTGTAAATAAAGTAGGCCAATGACTTTCAGTTGATGTAGTGCACCGATCATTCCTTTCATCGAAAGGGAGCCCAACTGGTGTTTTATCATTGAGATAGTATTTGCCAATAAGTTGTGCCACAAAGTTTTGACTACACCATAGTAGTGTGTAATATAATCTTCACCTGTTGCTACCCCCCCTCCCCCCCCCTGTGCAGGCCCACAAAGAACAAGCCATGCAGCACATGACTAAGGTTCTGAACCAGAAGACCTACAAGAAGTGTCTGTCTCAGCTCTCCAGCCCGCTCACTCCTCTCTATAAGATGCGCGAGCTCAGGTGAGGGGGCTACAGTTTTTATGTTTGTTTGTTTGTTTGTGTGGGTGCTCTAGTGTGGTTTGCTTCTTCTTTCCTATCAAACATCTATCTTCCTTATCTCTCCTCCTCCTTTTTGTGTTTGTTACTCTCTTGTAACACCTCTAATCTTCGGCACTTATATGACCTTATTGTGTTGCAAGGGCTGTAAAGCTCTTACTAAAACAAATGTATGTGAAATTTGTTGTAATTGTTTATCATTATCATTGTGTGGTCATGTGGCGTTGATGGCCAAGGGGTCAGGCTACCGAACTCGTAATCGTGAGGTTGCGGGTTCGGGGGTTAGAGCCACAGGCCTGACGTTGTGTCCTTGGGAAAGGCTCTTTACACAAATTTTCTTCACTTTCCCCAGGTGAGAAATAGGTACCCGGCCATAGACAACGAAAGATCTTGTCAGTATGTTAGTGTTTTAGCGCCTATAAATGGCTACTTGAACTGTGTGCTTCCCAGGAAGTTGAGATTGTTTCAGAATGCTCTCAGGTCTGCTGGGGTGATAATATAGATTGTGAAGCACTTAGAGCTTGTTGTTGAGTGGGGATTTGCGCTATATAAATGCTATCTATTATTAATTTTATCTTTCCCTGTCGTTTTATGTAAGAAAAATTCTGAAATTATGCAAACTGAGCCCAAAAATTGTGAAATTATGCGATTGTGTTAATTTTAACAAAGAATGATAAAGGAACATAATCAGAAAATTATCAAAATTTTGCTAAATTATGCGGGGTGCATAAAACCACAGGGACAGTATTATCTATTATCTATTATCTATTATCTATTATATCTCCTGTGACAGGGTGGAGAAGTGCAAGTTCATGAGCTCTAAGAAGCGCCCCCTGTGGCTGGTGTGGGAAAACTCGG